CACCCATACACTGATTCCTGCTCTTTTAGGGTAATAACAGGTAAGGTGTGGCAGCTTAGTTGTGCCCGCCAGTAGGTAAATTACTTCACTTTCTACCTTCATCCATCAGAAGGCACCATGCTGTGCAGCACAGGGGTCTCAGCCTTTGGGCTGGGTGTATGTAAATTTATTGTATGTTTCCAGAATTTGTGGTTGTGCTTATTTGCCACATCTAAGTAAAATTCTGCTGTGGCAAAAGCTGGTGTTGGAGCTGCTTTCCTCATTTGTCACTTCACTGTATCCTGGGGAGCCCACCCCGGTACACGGCTTACAGACCAACACCAGTAGATGACATGGCTCCCCAAATCAACACAGACTGTGGAAACTTCACGCTGGACTTCAAGCATCTTGCAGTGTGTGCCTCTCCATTCTTCCTCCATACTCTGGGTCCTTGGTTTACAAATGAGATGCAAAAGTTGCTCTCATCAGAAAAGAGGACTTTGGACCACTGAGCACCAGACCAGGTCTGTTTTTCTTTAGCCCAGGTAAGACGCTTCCGACGTTGTTTGTTGTTCAGGAGCGGCTTGACAAGAGGAATACGACATTTGAAGCCCATGTCCAGGAACCGTCTGTGTGTGGTGGCTCTTGATGCACTGACTCCAGCCTCAGTCCACTCCTTGTGAAAGGCCCCAACACTTCTGATTGGCCTTTTCCTGACAATCCTCTCCACGCTGCGGTCATCCCTGCTGCTTGTGCACCTTTTTCTTCCACACTTTTCCCTTCCACATAACTTTCTATTAATGTGCTTTGATACAGCACTTTGGGAGCATCCAACTTCTTTTGCAATTACCTTTTGAGGCTTTCCCCCCTTATGGAGGGTGTCAATGATGGTTTTCTGCACAACTGTCAGGTCAGCAGTCTTTCCCATGATTGTGATTCCTACTGAACCAGACGGAGAGACCATTTAAAGGCTCATGAACCCTTTGCAGGTGTTATGGCTTAATTAGCTGATTAGAGTGGGACACTTTGAGCCGAGAATATTGCACCTTTTCACAATATTCAAATTTTCTGAGATTGTGGATTTGGGGTTTTTATGAGCTGTAAGCCATAATCATCACAATTATGACAAATCACGGCTTGAACTATCTTGCTTTGCATGTAATGAGTCTATCTCATATATTAGTTTCACCTTTTAAGTTGCATTACTGAAATAAATGAACTTTTGCACGATATTCTAATTTTTTGAGTTTCACCTGTAAGTACAAAAGTAAAATGTTAAATATTTTAGCTTACCAGTTTACTTGCACTCTATTTGAGTCTTCTGTACCCATTTTTTCATATTTATAAATAAAGATTTAAAAAAAATATATATATAAACATGTTTGCCCATGTTATGTTTACCTGCTGTGTGCAATGGTTTTGCACAGAGCAGCCCTGATCCTTCTCTTTAGGGGTCCCCCACTGGCACTCCTGGCTCCTCCCCCTGACTATAACCCATACGTCAGATGTCCCCAATCACATTCTCTCCATGCATCCGGTGTCCCCATCACAGTACATCAGGTGTTCCCATCACAGTGTCCCCATACAACAGGTGTCCTCATCACAGTGTCCCCATACATTAGGTGTCCCCCATCACAATGTCCCCATACATCAGGTGTCCACATGCATCAGAAGACCGCATCACAGTGTCCCCATACATCATGTGCCCCCATACAAAAGGTGTCCTCATCACAGTGTCCCCAAACATCAGATGTCCCCCCATCACAGTGTCCCACACATCAGATTTCCCCAATCACAGTGTCCCCATACATCATAGTGTCCCTGAACATCAAATGCCCTCATACATAAGAGTTGTGCCCCCCCCCCCCCCTTTCCCTCTCGTACTCACAGCCACCTGTATTGACGTCAGCTCCTCCTTCCTCCCCTATGCTGAGTCTGAGATGAATTCTCAGTCTCAGTGCAGCTCTCTTCTGCTACCTGCAGGAGGGAGAAATAAGATGAATCCTCTCTCCTGAAGAAGCCAGCCACAGCTCCTTCCTTAATCATTCCTGTCAAATAAGGACATCACCAGCAGCCAAATCGCTAGTCAACCCCCCAACACCACGCCCACCCCCCTTGTGTCCTGGCCCTGATCATGGGCCTGTCATGCACCTGGGGCCCCTTGGCAATGCCCATGTTTTCCCATTCTTTAAGACAGACCTGCTCATAATTAAAGGATATGTCATTACTCAAATGTACCTCACAACTTCCCTTTCCTCTCATATAACATGTCCTGGGATTATTTTTTCTTTTACTAGTTAGTTGTAATGAAAAACAGCTTTTATTACTCCCTATGACATCATTATCAAGCTTGTAAACTACTTATAAGGGTAGATGATGGGAGCTCACAACCTATGATGTAGGAATATTCCCCAGAGCTACATCTCCTACACCTCCTAAGAACTCATTTCCTACACGCAGTGTGTGGACAGGCATTTAAAAGTCAAGGTAGCAGCATGTTTTTACTGGGAAATAAACCAATGTATGCATGTGGATTGAGAGAGGAATGGGTATACAGTGCCTTGAAAAAGTATTCATACCCCTTGAAATTTTCTACATTTGATGTGCTGACCACCTTGCTATGGAAGCACTTGTGCAGGCTTGCACCCGAGCCAGCTGTGTGTGTCCATAGACACACAGAGCGCAGCTCAGCCCCACGCCTGCTTCCTGCTTCACTGGCTGTGATTGACAGCAGCAGGAGCCAATAGCTATAGATAAGATCCCACCTGGGACAAACAAAGGAAAATGGACATGTTGGATTATTTTAGTCCTTTTATGTTTAATATTTTGTACTATTTTTTATTGCAAGCAACAGAACATTTAAAAAAATATATTATCAACATATAGTTGGTCACATTGCAGGCATCCCCTGCAGAGGTCTGCCAGTAGTGTTTAATGTTTGGTGAAATACTTGCAAAAAGGTGGTCCATGTGTAGTACCCTTCTAGTCAGGTGCTAGGATGTGTATAGTTAGGTTACGCATAGCTGTGTTTCTCTGCTTACCAGAGAGACTGTCAGGTGACTTCAGTGTGGCATTCTGCTTAACAGAGTGCTGTGATGGATTAGTCAGGTCTGTTAATGATGCTCTGGTGTTGTTTGGGTTTGTCTGAGTTCTGCCCGCCTTCAGGAAGCTATGAGAGCCTTCTAGAACAAGGATAGGGCTAGGCAAATGAACAGCATGAATATGAATACAATCCTGGCCAATTGCAGGGGAAGGTGACCCCATTGCATGCTGGGAGTTGTATTTATGTTCTGGGAGCATATGGGCTCTGAGTCTTTCCCAGAAGTGGATTGCACCAGCCAGGCTGGAGTCAGGCTGCCTTTTCTGGCACTTGCTGCCATGTGGCCTAAGGTGGGTCGACCTGAAGGCCTGAAGTTAGTGACAGTGACCCTAGTTCTACAGTAAGTTGACTAAGGGGAGTTGTCTGCCAAAGTTCTGTCTGGTGTCACTGGAGAGAGACACTTGGAAGATTGGAAGCAATCTTGGACTAGAATACAGACACAGAGATCTTGGGTACTCTGTTTGCTTTGCTACCCCTCTGGTGCCTAAAGTCAGCGTGGGTCTGAGGAAAAAAAAGGCTGGTGTTCTGAAGAACTTGTCCAATAGAGTCACTTGGAAGATTGGAAGGAGGCAACCTTGGACTTGGAGTACAGACACTGAGAGATCTTTCAGATTCTGTTTGCTTTGCTACCCCTCTGGTGTTTATAGTCAGCATGGGTCTGAGGAAAAAAAAAGGCTGGTGTTCTGGAGAGCTTGTCCAATAGAGTCACTTGGAAGACTGGAAGGAGGCAACCTTGGACTTGTGAGTACAGACACTGAGAGATCTTGGGGATTCTGTTTGCTTTGCTACCCCTCTGGTACTTACAGTCAGCGTGGGTCTGAGGAGAAAAAGGCTGGTGTTCTGAAGAGCTTGTCGAATTGATGCTACTGCAAAGAACTTCGTTCAGTTGCAATTACTTCTAGACTGTCGCAGTCTGCCATAACAGGCCTGTAACTGAGGAGCTCAACTCTGTTACTGCTGCTACAGCTAAAGGGACTTGGCTCACTCCTAAAACTACTTGCTGCTATATGTTACAAGGAAGTCTGCTATCTGTTCTTAGCCAGGACGTCTACAATGCTCAACTGACAGATAAGTTCAGATGTCCTCAATGTGAATAGTTCTAATTTTGGAGTATCCTACTACAATTCCCCATCTCTATCCCCCCAGTTCTACAATAAAACTCCAAAAACAAAACATCCCCTAGACTGGTCATTGAAGACAATGAGCCAGAGTGTGTGTGTGCATTGCTGTGCGGTGAAGTAAGGGGAAACCAAGGCAGCATACTAGCGGCCCTCACGAAGGTAGCACTACACATGTTTAAAGGGACCCAAGGGGATACAATGTTTCTTATTGCAGCATTAGGACCAATATTGTGTTAATAACAAGTGGACTTTCCCACTTGGCATTCACTTTGATTAGAATGGCATGGCCTATCTTAACTTTTTCTTCACCAAAAGCAGAGAATGATCTGACTCTAACTGCACATGCGCGGCCCCGGAGGCGCGCAGCGATCGATGGTGCACTGTGTCCCTAGGACACAACAGATCACTGATCAGAGTAAAGAGCCAATTACGTTAGCTCTGTCATGTGATTAGCTGTGCTGACAGCACATAAAGGTGAGGAGAGGAGAGCCTGTAATCAGCATTCCTCACAGGGGACATCTACACTGATCATCAGGGCACTGCACATTCCAAGACATCCGAGATGTGGTTATAGCCTATGTTGAGTCCACCCCCAAGTGCAGGAGTATTTGGGTTTGCTGTTTTCACTGGTGATCAGTGCCCTGATGATCAGTGTAGCCCCATCAGTGCCACCTTTCTGTGCCCATCAGTGCCACCTGTAAGTGCCCATCAATGCCACATACCAGTGCCCATGAGTGCACACCAATGCCACATATCAGTGCCTACCAGTGCACAGCAATGCCACATATCAGTGCCAATCAGAGCTGCCTTTCAGTGCTGCCTATCAGTGCCAGTCAGTGCTGCCTATCAGTGCCAGTCAGTGTCACATATCAGTGCCAATCAGTGATGCCTATCAGTGCCCATCAGTGCCGCCTAGCAATTCCAATCAGTGCCACCTATCGGTGCCAGTCATTGCCGCCTATCAGTGACCAGCAGTGATTCCTGTCAATGCTTACAAGTGATGCCTGTCAATGCCCATCAGTGCGGCCTATCAGTGCCCATCGCTGCAGCCTCATTAGCGCACATCAGTGAAGGAGAAAAATTACTTCTTTACAGAATTTTATAACAGAAACTAAGAAAAAAAACGTTTTTTTTTTTTATTTCAAAATGTCCAGTCCTTTTTAGTTTGTTTAGTAAAAAATAAAAAAACCCAGTGATGATTAAATACCACCAAAAGAAAGCTCTATCTGTCTAAAAAAAATAATAACAATTTTGTTTGGGTACAGTGTTGCATGACCGCGCAATTGTCATTCAGAGAGCGACAGCATTGAAAGGTGAAAATTGGCCTGGGCAGGAAGGGGATAAAAGTGCCCAGTTGGCAAGTGGTCAAGAAAGTATTAAGATTAGCAGTTGATTGGTGGATTAGAACGTGGCAGGAAATTACAGAAGCTAATCAGACAAGTCAAAAGTTTTGATAATTCACTTATATCTACCTGTATGTATACGAAGAATGAAGCAGGTACAGTAACTTTTTCAAACAGACATTTTTAATTACAGCAATTCATACTGCTAGTACCCAATGTAATATGTACAGTATGTAGTCCTAATGTACCCTCCACTTATCGTCAACAGGCATATTTGTCATACATGTACAGTATATCATTCTTATTTAGTAATGCCAGGTCATCCCTTTAATTACTTACGGATCTAAATTATGTAGTTGGAGTGGGCAAATTAAACACGTTCACTACATAGTACTATGCAATTTACATTAGCTGTTAATTAAATGAACTGCATGGCATTATTAGTCTATAAGAAGCTATAATGTTGGCTTTGGGTCAATTATACATCAATTATACATTTTTTGCTATATACTGTTTATACATTCTTTGTTTAAAAAAAAAAAAAATATTTAAAACATGACAAAGATTCAAAGAGTACTGTGGGTTAGCAAAAGAGACAGCATAGTAACTCCATTTCAGACACAGAACATAAAATATATTTTACAATTTTACTTTTTTTTATTCCAGACCATAAAAAAATACTCATTTTAGTGGCCATCACATGAAAAACAATATAGTGAATTCTCTGCCTGGCTGCAGGCTGTAGTATTCATTTCTAAAGATTCCTCTGGCCATGGAAGGGTACTATATGATCAGAAGCAGGGTCATGCTCAGGGGAGGACTGACAACTCATGGGGCCCTCCTGTGCTCTGTAGATTACACTGGGAAAGCAGCTTTCCCAGTGTAATCAGTGGAGCCCTGCAATCACTGTGACACCAAGTTCTGTATCAGGATCCATAACCCTGGATCATTATACACTGTACTCTACAGACTGGCTGAGAAAGTGACATCAAATTCTTGCTCTTCATTCATTTATGGTGAAGGTTGCAGTTTCTGTTTTGTGTAAATTGTAAAAAAAAGAAAAAATAATTGCTAAATCAAATTGTAAATTACTCCCTCGTCCCTTTCTTCCCCATTTTTATACTTTTTTTTATCACCATTATGTAAACTTTTAGATTTTGCTTTGTTCATTTTACAGCACTGCAATTAAAAAATAAATGCTTTCTACCATAAAATTTGCAATTTGGGCGAGCCGTAAGTTACATTGTTTAGCAGATGGAAGAACAAGTTTTGGTTAGCAAAATGGTAATAAATCATAACTATGTTGTACTATGAAAAAATAACTCAATAAGTAATATGCCTCGCTAACTAAAGCTGAGTGAAATACAATAAAAACAATAGTGAATCATCAAATAAACAGATCATGCAGGTAGTTTCAAAAAGTCCAACACCCACAAGGAAACTTCAAACTGTACCAAATGGAGTCTCCTTGTGTCCTAACTTCTCACATTGGAGAACCACACCACGTCTTTACACCTAGTGAAGATGTCCGCTTACCAAACACACACGTGTTTCTTCAAATAGATCCTTCACAGCTCATGGTTCCAGGAACAGAAAAAATAGAGCACCAGGCTCACAGAGTATAAAATGCTTTAGTACACTTTATTACATTAAAAAAGATGCTAAAATCATACATGTCGACAAAGACTTCAAGCTCCACAATGCAATGCGGGAACGTGCAGAGAACGTGGTGATGTCAGGCCTTCGGTTCCATCCTACACACGTGTCGTCATAAATGACGTCATCAGGGGCCCGAAAACATAGGTTGTACTATGCTCATTAAGGACAAATGAATAATTAAACCATGTCACAGCAACTTGTATAACTAATTAAAGCTGAACTTCAGCTATTACTTTTTCAGCAATTATACCTTTTTTTAAAATGTATTTTTGAGATAAAGGTTTTAAACAAATGAATAAAAGATGACTATTGACCCCTGTCAGTGTTAAATGGTTTGTCTCAACCCTCTAACTGCCACTTTTGATGGACAGCTTGGTCTGTAAAAGGTAGTTGAGAAATAAGTGCAGCTTCACACTGCCCTGCTAAGCTTTTGCAAAAGAGCAGCTAACCTGCAGTTTTCATGCAGGTTAGCTGCGCTTTTCCATAGACTACTATGAGGTCCTGCAGTTTTGGTGCAATTTCAGAAAGCGCACCAAAACTCCTACATGCTAGGTATGGGCCCATCCTCTCTACAGTACTCTCTCTGAACTGTGTTAGGAACTACTAGGAAGTAGTCGAGTCATATCACGACTCGACTACTGCAACTCCCTCCTCACTGGCCTGCCTCGCCGCTGGCTATCCCCGCTTCAGTCGATCCTGAATACGGCTGCCAGACTCATTCACCTTTCCAACCGCTCTGTCTCCGCCACCTCCCTCTGCCAATCCCTCCACTGGCTTCCGATTGCGCAACGGATCAAATTCAAAATCCTAACGCTGACGTACAAAGCTGTCCACCATACTGCCCCGAACTACATCACTGACCTAATATCCAAGTACCGCCCAGCACGCACACTCCGCTCCTCACAAGACCTCCTTCTCTCTAGTTCCCTGGTCTCCTCCTCCCATGCCCACCTCCAGGACTTCTCCAGGGTGTCACCCATCCTCTGGAACTCCCTGCCCCAACCCATCAGATTATCACCTACTCTCCTCTCCTTTAAGCGCACCCTGAAAACCCATCTCTTCAGGGAAGCCTACCCCACCCCCTGCTAACTTGCCGACCTCCTCCACTCTTCCTACCACTCCATCCCCCCACAGCTATCTCCTCCTGTGCCACCATCCCCTCCCTCCTAGATTGTAAGCTCGAAAGAGCAGGGCCCTCGAACCCCTCGTGTATCACATTGTATTGGTATTGTTCTGCCACATGTTCTGTCCCCCTTTGTAATGTACGGCGCTGAGCGAACTATTGGCGCTTTATAAATACTGTATAATAATAATAATAGTAACCTCGAAGATGTGTGCCATCACCTCTCATGGGAGGCTAGACTTTATTATACACTACTAATGGTAAACTCTTAAAAAAAAAAACCCTTTCTGTTGTGGTCTGCTTCTTCTTCTAACCTACATGGGAATGTATTCAGGAATTGGCCCTTTGCACTGGAGTCATAGTGGGTTAATTATAATATATATATTATAATTGGCTAATCCTTGGATGGGAGGGAGAGTATTCCCGGGGAGTGCTGATTTTGCCAGGCTGGGTTGCCCTGCAGGTGTTCTCTACATGACCAATGTTGGGATCCTGGGAGGCCCATGCTGAAAGCACAGAGACAGATCAAGGGAATCTACCATGGGCCATGCAGAAATGAGTTAAAAGCAATTAAATTCTTGCCCTTCAAAACACTATTATTCCAAGCAATCCACCATTTAATGAAGATGAACAAAAGTAGGCATGTTTGCAGTCCAGCCTGTGTGACAACCATGGAATCTCCATTGATACAGTGGAAAAATGAATGTAGCCATTAAAGGATGGGAAGTGTATTATTTGGGAACAATGGGAACTGTATTGTTACTGTACTCTCTCCCTCTATAATGTAAAGCGCTGAGCAAACTGTTGGCACTATATAAGTCCTGTATAATAATAATTATTATTTGCAGGATCTTGATAGAAAAAAAGGGGAAAGAAGCCTGAAAAAATACACGGTAAAGCAGCAGACACATCTAAGGCCAATAAGCTGGTTCAGCACTACCCCCTCAGGGGCAGCTGTGCACAATCTCAATCAGTTCTAGATGTCCTGTAATTCACAATTTAAACGATAGCCCCAGTCCTCAGATGTTTCTTCCCCAGTGAGTCAAAAAACTACCAAGCAAAGAGGCTAACTCATTTTAGGCTGTCAGTGGCTGAGGGCTGAGTCTAATTTTGAGGAAAAAAAAGTGTTTCAATTAATTAGGCCAATGTCCCTTTAACTGCAGTGTCTGATCTATGGCGCGTTCGATGGGGCCCCAGTTGGTGCACATAAGGATTCAAATCTTCCTTGAGGCAAAGGTAGAAATTCCTTAATAGAGGATGAACTCAAAGGAAGGGAGTTTTCCCTTCAAATTATATTAGGTGTGAATGGTACCCTTTTGACACACACAGGGTAAGGTGGAAAATCAGGTAGAAATTAATAATGGGCATGAACACACTTCTGTAGGAATAAGTTCTTCCTTGAACCACTGTGGCAAATTATAGCAATGAAGGAGCACCTTGGCGAATGAGGCAGACTATAATGGGAGCAATAATACCACTGGGCATGTGGAGGGCAGATAGTGCAGTAGACCCTTGTGATTGGATATGCTGGAACTGTAATAACTAGTAGGCACAATAACAATGATGGTCAAGCTGAGTAGAAAGTAACTGGATCTGGTAACGTCATATGCAACTTAGATGGCTTGAGTATGGAATTTTCTCACCCAATCTGTGGCCTCTGTCAAGTGGCAGGTGGTCTCTCTGTAGACGGGGGCCCCCATTTCCTCATTGTCCCAATTTCAGAGATCACT